AATAAGGATTTTTATAATGGGCTATTTCATGCAATACCATTATGCCTCCTAGAATATTTTGGTGATATAATTGAGCAGATTCTAAAGTTTGGAACTGGAAATGGAGAGTTGATTTTTGTGTGTACATCAACATTATTTCTTGAAGCTGAAAGTAAATATGTGTGACTTTTGATTTTACTCCTTTTCTTAAAAAACCACCACAGGCACAACTCACATGTAAGCTTCTGCTTCTGTCGTCAGAACTAAATCCACCTGCTTTAGATGAAAATTCTTATGCTGTCAAGAGAATTATCAGTCACTGTTAGGTATAAGCCTTTGAAATATAAATCTGCATAAAGATAATGATGATTTGTTGGAAAGACAGGGTACTGAACAATCAACAACTTGTTCTCATAATTTGTTTGAATCCTGAAAAAACTCTAGAAAACATCCGAATTGGCTTGCTTCGGACATATAATGAGGCAAGATGGTTTTCCAAAAACAGTGCTGATAAGAAAAATAGAAAGAAAGAGAGAAACGTTAAAGGATCAAGATGTCAAAGGACAAATTATATAAAAGACTGGACAGGGAGCAGAAAAAATGCTGGCTGAGTGCATGACAATGGCACAGGACAGATTGGCTAGGAGAGGTGTGGTTCATCTACCTCAGTCCTGGGACAACAACAGCTGCAACAACAACAACAACAACTACAACAACAATACCTTCGCGTTTCCCTCAGATGTACATCGTGGTAATGGCGCACGAGTTGGGTCACAACTGGGGCTCGCCTCACGACCCGCCCGAGGACCCGGTTTGCTCACCATCTGAGAAAAAGGGAGGCAAGTACATCATGTGGGCTCGGTCCAACGCGGCCAAGAGCGCCAACAACCAAAAGTTCTCGCCCTGCAGTATCGAAAAGATCACTGCACTGTTAAAGGTGAGGAATGCAAGATCTAACATTCCCTCGAGATATAATTGATTAGGATATTGTCCATCCACTTTGCCGTATTTTAGTCCTTTCAAAAGTGAAATAAGATACCTGTAATTTGGCGACTTTTCAGTTTTCATATGTTGGTCAGCCTTTTAAAAAGTTGTGTTTTCTTTTTCAGGTGGACCCCGAGGTCAACGTAGGGAAATAAGTAGGATTAAGGGGGAACCTGGGGTCTATCTAGCGAAATAATAGGTTTTATGATAGGTGGACCCCGGGGTCACAGTAGTGAAATAAATAGGATTAAGGATTGATGGACCCCAGGGTCACCATAGTGAAATAAGTAGGTTTAATTAAGGATTGGTGGACCCCGGGGTCATTAACGTTGTGAGAAAAGTAGGTTTAAGGATTGGTGGACCCCGGGGTCACCATAGTGAAATAGTCCTTAATTAAACCTACTTATTTCACTGCGTTGACCCCCTATCCTAAAACCTAGTATTTCGCTAGGTAGACCGCGGGTTCCACCTATCCTAAAACATTTTTTGTTGTTGCTAGGTAGGCCCAGGGCTCCACCTATCCTCTTCCATTATTTTTTCAAGACTAATGTATAACTGCGCTACCTTTGTTCGGAAATTTTAAGAATGTGTGCTTGTGGGTGGTTTATTCCTTCTTTCCTATCAAACATCTATTGTCCTTATCTCCCATCCTTTTTGTGTTTGTTACTCTCTTGTTACACTTCTATTCTTCGGCACGTATACTTATAAGACTTAATTGCTTTGCAAGTGCCGTTAAACTCATACTGAAAGTAAAAGCAAAAAACAAAAATAAAGTTTGTACTTTGATTTTATTTCCACTCTTTTTGTCCCTCAGACCAAAGCACACGAGTGCTTCTTACCAGCCAGCGCCTCTATAGGTCTGTGCGGGGACGGGATCGTCTCGCAGGGAGAGGAATGTGACGAGGGTTTCCTCCTGTTCACCAATACCACCATCGACTGTTGCACGAAAAGGTGCACTCTCAGAGCTGGCGCCGTCTGTTCCCCGTCGTCCAGCCCGTGTTGTTCAGATGATTGTCACGTCGCTCCAAAAACGCAAGAGTGCAAAAATCTGGATGCCCACGTTTGCCGTGAAACATCTTATTGTACCGGCACGGATCATTCTACTTGTCCAAAACCTAGGGCGAGAGAAGACGATACCCCGTGCAACGACCATGGTACTTGTTGGAACGGAGAATGTTTGTCTTTTTGTGAGAACAGGGGACGCACTTTAAAGCCGCCTAAACAACTTGTTTCGTGCACGTGTGACTCGAATCGCGAGGAAATGTGCAGTATGTGCTGTATGGACATCCTGACCAACGAATGTCGCCCCACTGAAACTCCCTACACGGACGGAATGCCCTGTACATTCGGGACCTGTCGTGGCGGTGTCTGCAGGTCTTCGGAGTACCGAACCAGGAAATCACCTTACGTCACTGGTTTCACCAAGAACATAGCTCTGTGGTTGTCCATTTTAACGTTCCCAATCTATATCATCGCTCTTGTGTGTACGCAATTTGTTGAAATTTAGAGTTGTGTTTGTTCCGTTGTGGTTCAAGCAAATAGATGTACCGTTTTTAAATAAATGCATTTTGATAGATGAGATCGGAAACTGTTGTTTATTGTTTGTTTGATTGTTTTAAGTTTGGGACTTTTTTATCTCTTTTATTTCTGGTTTGTATTGTTGCTGTCATTGTTGTTGTTGTTGTTGTTTTGTTGTTGTTTTTGCTTTGGTCTGTTGTTGTTTTACTAAGGTATAAAATGTAATATTATTATGCGGGTAATTTCGAAAGTGTTCCCCTAGCCAAAGGAAGAAGAATGAGAAACGAACTAAGCAATAAAAAAACGACACAATAAAAGTAAAAACCATAGGTTTGCCTTACTGTGTGCCATGTTCATGGGTACTATAGATTATTCCTCTGTTAGAGGGATTGCACTCCTGCTGGTGTGAAGTTGGTCTACGCAGGACACCCCAACCCATCTTGGGTGACTCTGATAGCGTTTTACTAGGAAAACTATAACTCGTGAAGCCAACAGGTAGCAGTATACCGTCGGTGGTCATATTTCTTCTTTTTTGTATCGATGGGATGTAATGCACCTATTTAAGTTTAAGGCAATTAGACTTATATGAACTTCACGATATTATGTTCTATTAATTATACGTTTGACTATGGATCGGTCTGTCTGTACCTATGGGCTACGAGAAGTACAGGCTCTGCCCTAATGATCGAAAGGCTTTTTTTTTTAATGGAGAGGGTGTTTTTTTCAATCCATCGACACAGTTTCAGTTATTTAAGAGGCGGGCTTCGATTCTACCTGTCAATTCCAACCTGGGCTGAGATGGAAAGAACGCCCCAGCAGAAAGCCTGAGACACTCAATGAAAATCCTCACCACACGGGAATCGAACTCCTGTCTTCAGCATGCGACAGAGTAGCGCCTAACCGCTGTACCACAGACATTGGTAAAGGAGTCTAAATGCGGCATGACCACTAAAATGTTGTTGTTAGATGGCTCTTAAGTCACCCGGTAAATTATTGAATACTAAACGTCAACATACATAAGTGTATGATGACTACAGCAATTATAATCCTCTCTTGTGCGGTTTGTAGATATCAATGTGCGCAAGAGCAAAGGAGATCGTCTAAAAAAGAAAAGTAGATCTATCACTTGTGCGCAAATTGGTCCTGAATGCTGGGGTTTGCGATGTTCTTGTACTTATATTATATTTTCTAACGCGCCTTCTTTGACTCAAGGATTTTAAATAACTTCAATAACTTGAAACATTATGACATGTTTGTCAAGCAACAAATGAGCGGTGGCAGAGGAATACTACTACACAATGTACGTAGGCTCAGACTTTACTCAGAGAGATACGAACTGGGAGTCAAACCATAGAGATTGGTGGGAGAGAGGAGAGAGAGAAAGAAATGGGGAAGGAGAGAAGAGAGGGGGAGAGGAGGGAGAGAGAGGAATGGAATAGTGGAGGGGGTGAGAGACGGAGAGGAAAGACAGGAGCGAAAAGGGATAAGAGAAAGAGAGAGGAGGGAGAGTGAGTGAGAGTGTGTGTGTGTGTGTGCATGTGTGTGTGTGTGTGTGTGTGTGTGTGTGTGTGTGTGTGTGTGTGTGCACGTATATGTGCGCGCGCGCGCGCGCGCGTGTGTGTGTGTGTATGTCTGTCTGTTTGAGGGAGTGAGAAGGGCGTGAGAGCAAAGGTGGCAGAGGGAGTCATAGTTCCCTACAGCCTTCACCCTAGAGACACTAGTATTTGATTCGCTTCTGTATGAAACAGTGCTTCCCGGTTTAGCAGGAAGTGATACCAAAAAGATCAACAGGAAGGAAGTTCACATTGGGAAAAACATGGCTCCTACACACTGTGTTTTCTGACCATGCGACTTACCAGTCAGTGGTAGAGAAACGTGAGCAGGAACCCTCTTCTTGTAGCATACTCATCGCTGGACCTCAGGTAGAAAATCATTGGAAAGCAGCTGGTCTGATAGTTTTCCGAGTTTGTTACATCAATAGAAAACAGACTAAGATTGAGGTCCTTTTTTGTGAGGTCGCTGAAAATATGCTCAGAGAACGAGAACATCCTAATACCTAGGCGTCTTGCTGACAAGGGTAGTGTTAGTGTTTTGGGGGAGGGGGGAGGAAGGGGAGGAAGGGGAGGGGGGTAGAGAGATCTGCCGTCGATGTATTGTTATAAGCCTCGTCATTGTCACCACTCACCACCGTTATCGTCATTTTTTAAACCTGTTTTTTGTTTGTTTGTTTGTTTGTTTATTTGTTTGTTTTGGGTGTTTTGTTGTTCTGTTGTAGTTGTTCTTTGGTTAGTACTGAAGGTTTACCAGTTCATCAAGCCTGTTTTTATGAGTTTGAGCGATTTTTATCTTTAGTGAGTTTTTAAATTGAGGTAGATTATTATTTACTGTCGACATCTTGTATTCAGTCGGAGGAAGAAATTTGATTTTGTGCTGGTGAAGACAGAGACAGAAATTTTAGGCTTTCAAAGGTGAGAAAGAAATGATGAGGAGGGGGTGGAGGATTAATCGAGACACTATAAGCTTTCCGTTTCAGGTATAGGAGGTTTGTAAAGACATATTATAGTAAAATACGTTTTGAATTCTTACTTTAGTTTTCATCTGGGTGTTAAAACAGATGTTAGCGCAAGAAAATGTCCAAACTGCTCTTCTGAGTTGGAGGTTAGCGTTTGTCACTGATAGGTCCTGCATCTTTTCCTTCCCTCTGTCTGTCATGCTTTTTTCCTTGCACTCAATGACCGTTATTGTGTAGGTGTGCTTGTCTTACTCAAACAAACAAACAAACAAAATTTCTTTCTTTTGAAAACAGCTTGTCTTCTCTTCCTTTACCCTTTCTGTATTTCTAATATCTTAGTTATGATTCCACCACATAATTATGTTTCCATTTTTCCAGCTATGGCGAGGGACGGAGACATTCTTTGCCCGTACCTTACGTTGAACCCGAGGAAAGTGGTCATCAAAGGTTGTGTCAAAGTTCAGAAAGGCAGGAGCTTCATGCAACCACTGCTGGGAAGATATACGTGCTCAAACCAAAGCCAGGATGTTATACCACACGTGAGAGGTGACATTGCTTATCTGAAACGGTAAGTTCTCTGCCAGATTTGATGATGAATGGAAAAGAAAGTGAGGAAGTTAAAAAGCAGGGCTGGAGGTGGAAAGGGAATTTTCTTAAAGCTGGAAGGGAACGGGGGTGGATGAAAGAAAAACTGTATTGCGTTCCGCTGATTAAATGGGAACTTATATAATACGTATAAGAAGTGGTTATGTAAAATGAGTAGGTACATACGTACGCACAGACACACACGTGCGCGCACACATACACACATACACGGACACACTCACGTACACCCATACGTACACAGAAACACAGATGCACATCTCCTCTGTTCCTTCTCACTCTCTCTCTCTCTCTCTCTCTCTCTCTCTCTCTCTCTCTCTCTCTCTCTCTCTC